GCTCCGGGCAGCGATTGGCCCGGTTCGCTGTTGTTGAAACTTTTTTCAGCGCGCGGAGGGGGCGGGGCGGTGCGCGGCCCGGAGGGCGGCTCCGCCCACTCTTAAGGGCGCGCTGCCGGCCCAGCGCAGCGCCGCCGCAGCTGTTCAGTCCGGCATCCGCTGGCCTCTCTGTTCCGCTCTTTTTACTCTGTGTTTTTTAGGCGACGGAGTGTTATTCGTTCTCCTGGATCTCCCCAGTCCGTTACTTCGACGGGAGCCAGAAGTCTGTTCATTTTCCGGGTTTGATCATCACTGCAGGCTAGCGAGCGCCGGGGGAAGGGAAGAACTTGGCACACGGGAGCCGTGAGGAGCAGCAGCACACGTTCCAGCCTCAGAGCGGTGAGACCCTTACACACGCGCGCACGCGCACACGCCCCCCCTCCTTCACCCACGGCCGGCGTCGCCTGCAAATCTCTTTCCTGGCAATACGCTTCATAACACAGGGATGAAAAACACCAGTGGCACTCACCTGGGGGCAGCGTGGGGCAGCACCCCGTGGCCGCAGGCGCAGAGGGGAAGGAGACCCCTGGAGCCGGCATCCCAGCTGCCTCCGCCAGGCGCGAGGAGTAGGGGCGGCCTCGCCAGTAGACGCGACCTTAACTGCGGCACGGAACAGCCTGTCAAAAACTGGCGCTCTTTTCCCTCCTCTTTCCGTGGAAAGACTATCAACTCCATCTGTCACAAAACCGAGGCCGAGGAGTCTCCTCCCTAAGGCGGAGGGAGCCATGCTCCCCAGTCCAGGCCGGGTGCCCGGCGGCAGAAGTGCCCAGAGGACTCTGCCGGCCCACCCCACACGGCCTGGCCTGGGGAGGGCACGGTCTTGCCCTGACCTGAGTGGCAAAACACAAACAGTATCAGTCTACACTTAAGATTTAATAAGAAGCCTGTAACTTAATTTGGTGGAGGTGGGGGGTGGGTGGTCTGGAGTTGTCATCTCCATCCTGCCAGGAAGGTTTGGGAGCTCTGTCACACAGGAAGGCTAGGGTCCTTCACCTGTAAAGTGCAAGGTTGGAGTGGTCACTTTACTCACGAGGAGCCAAGGAAGAAGCGTAGTGATCACTCGTCGAGTCCATGTTGACTGAGTGCCTTCAGCCCAGTAGATCTCAAAACAGCCAGTATAGAACATCTGGAGCCCTTGCTGAGATCCAGATTGCTGGCCCCTGGGGTCTACGATTGGATAAAAACCTGGGCATCTGCATTTCTAACAAGTGGTCAGGTACTGCGCTGCTGTTTGTCAGGCACCATAGGTAGAGAACCGTACTCCCCAGGTGAACATGGTTTTTATTTATTTATCTGTGAAACTTAGGCCACCTTGGCCCTGACACAGCTCTCAGTGGATGTCAGGGAGCCCCAGAGCCCTGCCTGCTCTGGGGAGCTCTGTGCTTCTTGTTGGCCTTAGCCTTGAAGGCCAGAGGGCCTGTTGGGCTGAGGGAGGCTGGGTTATTCCCACCCACTCACCATAGGTGGCTGCTGCTGCTTCTCCTTCTTCTCCTTCTCCTTCTCCTTCTTCTTCTTCTCCTTCTCCTCTTCCTCCTCCTTCTTCTTCTTCATTTTACATACAAAAAAAACCCCAAAACCAGAAAACTTCTAGGCCACAATTCTCACTTGGTAACTATCCCATTTCTATGAAAACTCTACTTTATTCTGTCTTTCTGTTTTCTGTTCCATTTATTGTTCTCATTTCATCTACCTATTTCCTTAAGGTAACCAAGGGCCATTTTGGTCAAAATCTGGCTGTACCCAATTGCTGCTCTTCAGTCACCATCTTATTTAACTTTCAGCAGCATTCCATGTGACTGATCATTTTCTTCAAAATATTTTTAGAATACCATTTGGCTTCTGGAAATTGACACTCCCCTGTTCTTCTTTTACTCTCTGGCAGCCCCTTTCCTAACTTTTCTCCTTCAGTGAGTTCATACAGTGCCTTGGCTTTAATTATAACACCTACTCGGACATTTTCAACTTTAATCTTTTTCAGACTTACATTTGTATGTATTCATTTAGTGGTTAAAAAAAACCGCTAAGTTCAGCCTACTCTAAGAGCCCTTCTAGTTTTTTCACCCCACACCTGTTGGTTTCTGTGTCAGACACTCTCCAAAATTGGTCCCCATCAATTTTCTCCCCTATTTATATCAGTGCTACTTAGACAAAGACGAATATGCCAGTCCTCTTCCCTGGATCTTGGGCAGGCCTTAGTGACTGGCCAGTAAGATCTGGTAAAAGCCAGTGACGTTCTGGAGGCTTCATTGCTAGATCATTCAATACCTTCCAGTCAGTACTGGGACCTCTTGCAGTGCTTTTTGGAAAAGCTGGTCCCATGTAAGCATCCTTTAAATCTAGTTGCCTTGGTGATGGTATTATGGGCTCCCAGTGGCCCAGCTGAAGAATGGAGCACAGTCTGGCTTAGTATGAGCCCTTCAGTCTGACCTTCTTGAGGCTTCCATACCTTGAGCAGGTGTAAGCATTCCATTTAGAGAACAGCTCCCAGTTGCTTCAGCCTTATGAATGAAGAAGGTATGGAACTATCTTGGATATCCAGTCCAACCAAGCCTTCCGATGACTCTAGTTCAGCTGCCATCTCTTGAGAACACTTGATAAAAACTCCAACTGAGGGTCAGGATAAGGGCTGACAAGGGAAGCATCAAGGTGCAAAGCTGAAGGAGGCACTTGTACTCTCCTAGGTCCTGTGCTACAGGGGTACCCACATAAGTACCTCCTTAAATGTCATGCTCTAGACTCTTCACTCATCTCTTCTTAGTTTTGACTTTGCCATGAGCAAGAGCAGCAAAGTTTATTCCAAAGAATCATGAAGAATAACAAAGAATGTTGTTTTGAGCCAGTAAGTCTTGAGTTGGTTGATTATGCAATGGTAGTTGAACAGTGCTTTCTATTTATCCAGTTGCTTAGGTAAAGTATGCCATGAACTACTGTAGTTGGCTTCAGCAGTAGTTGGCTTCACCAGTAGTTGGCTTCACTGTAGTTGGCTTTGTTTACATACAGTTGATGGTCAATTGTAGTCAGATGAAGCATCAGAACTTCTTTGTTGTTTTCTAAGTCAGCTAACTCAATTGGTCCAAATCATTTGTATTACAGAAAAGGAAAGAAAACCTGCAAGCAGAGGAAGGCATCCTTTAAATCTAGACATGTAAACCAGGTGGCATCTGGAGGTAAAAGTCCAGAAAGGGACAGCATGAAGATCCTGTACTGGCTGGTAATCCCATTGGGCTTTCTTTCAGGAAGAGAGGAGTGCTCCAAGATGATTAACAGTCTATCAGGATCCCAAAGTGATGTACGGCTGGATGCCTGTTTGTGCTTCTCGTGACATCTGACATCAGTGGGGGTTACAGTGAGGTGGCATGGTTGATGGGCAGGCCTAGAGGCAATTCTTTGGCTCATTCATCTGGGAGGAGAGTTTTCAGAATTTCAGGATTGTCATTATCTGTCTCAGGCTGCTGCCGGCATCGTCTTCCTCATGGGGAACAGTCAAAGTTGAAAGGGCAGAGTTAAATGAGAGGGAGGCTGTCTAGCTTGGCAAAGTAGACTATTGCTTCTAACTTGAAAAGGGGGTTCTTCCCAGAAGTGGTATGGGGACTGGCTTACACAGGAGATGTCCTCCTAGTTTGCAAGTTTGTGCCTGGCAGAAGGGGCAAGAGACAAGAGTCCTAGTTGCCCGGATGATATTACTGTGGGCTCCTGGTAGCCCAGCTGAAGAAAGGAGCCTGGTTTGGCTTAGTCAGAGCCCATCAGATCAGTGAAAGGGTTGTCATTTGATCCAGGTTGAAGCTTTGGAGAATTCTTATCTTTTAATCTGAATGGGCATTTATTTTTTAGTGTCCATAGTGCTTATATCAGGCTTCTGGGTAACAGTGGTAACTTTTAACATATTGATGGGCTTTTTGTTTCCCCTCTTTGAGGTCTTTGAGAAGCACTTGACTGATTTTAGTTTTCTAGGCAGGGCAGCCTTTGAGAAAGGCCATGGCAACTCATTTGACAGGGCTGACAGTCCAATTTTTATGCAGTCAAAATGTGGAATGCATAAGGCATTGCTGATAGTCATCTCAAGTGGACATTAGATGATACCATCTGACCAGGATAGAAGTGAAAGGCTCCTGAGGGAGGGCCTCTGTGGCCGAATGCAGGCAATGGCTAGCTGGAACTGGTTCAGTTGGCTGGCAGTAAATGAGTCGGGAGCAGGGAGTGAAGCCATAGGTGTTGGCAGCAGCTGTGGCAGCCAACGGGGGGAGCAAGGCGAAATTCTCAGGAAGAATGGACCTCTTTTTTCCTGTTTTTTTTTTTTTCTTTCTTTGAGGTGTAGGGAGTGGCTTGGTTTCACTTTTAATTCCATAATCTCAGAAAAGCCCTTTATCCTGCAGTCAGGGACTATGGGTTTCGACTGATTAGTTTCCATCTCTGACTTTCTATGTGTGTGTTGTGTACCCTTGAACAATGGTGCAACAGACAAAGGGTGGGTGCCCCTCAGAGAGAGAGAGAGAGAGAGAGAAACCATTCAGGTGCCTGCCTGGCCATGGCCCTCAGAGGGATTTAGGCATGACTTAGCTAAGGAGGATGTGAGGCCTCTATTATGCCATACGTCAATTACCACAGAACTGCAGGTGAGGGCCCAGTCAGTCACCATGACCAGTGTTTCCCTGTCTTGGTGCACAGATAGAACAGCCTACACTGTCTGTTCCATTCACTCATTCATTCAACAAGCACTCAGAGGTTAAAACATTCCAGCCCCCTTCTCTCAAGGGTGGTCCTGACTAACAAAAGGTGATCAGACTCTCCTGCTCGAGCTGAGCGGGACTCACAGACAGACCTACTGGAGTACCCTCGGGCGTCTTACCTGAATCAGGCAGGCAGGCAGGCAGACAAATTGTGTCTTCCTCCCTTGGGGTCCGATGTGAACTAATTGAGTGGGGAGCCAAGAATTGTCCTCCAAGGGGACCTCTGAAGGGACTCAAGAAATCTCAAGGGCACGCCTTTCCATCAGGACCTGGAGAGGTCCTTTTTCTGTCCTTGAGGGCCAGGACTGGTGACCAGGGTCAGCATGGCTAGTCTTCCTGGCTGACATACCAGATGCTATGGCAACAGAAACACCTAAACGACACCCAAGATTTGGAGGCAGATTTATTTAATGTTGGGTGAGCACTGACAGGGAATCAACTGTTCCTCAGAATGTAAGGCCTTAAAGGCCCAGAGAGGGAGTTTTTTATGGGGTCTGCAAGGGGGAATACAAAGGCAGAGTACTTGGCTGTTTTGGTTCTTACAGTATGCATCATAGTGACCAGCTGTGCATCACAGTGACCAGCCACTTCTAAGACACAGAAGCAACCAGA